AGGGGCTTGGGGTGAAGCTGGCCATCCCGGCCCTGGGGAGTGGGCCGCGGTCAGGCCCGCTCAGGGCAGGCCGGCGGGCACTGGTAGAAGCTCGGTGACCGGCCCAGATCACCGGCTTGCCAACGTCCGTGGTGTAAATGCTCCCACCGCGCTGGTTCTGGGCCAGCATTCCGAGGCCCCGAGCAGAGCACACGGTCCGGTCCGCTGCTCTGAGCCCGTCCGGCCAGCTCCGGCCTCCGCGGACCCCCTGGCACCTGGGGAGGACGCTCAGGCGAAGCGGCCGGGTCACCACAGCATCTTGCAGAGTCTTCGGGGGTGAGAGCGGCCGGGGGCAGCCTGGTCCGGGGCCCGTGGGGAAGGGGCTGACACCAGCGCCATGAAGATCCCGTGTGCAGGCCTCCGAGTGGCCGCGGTTTGCATGAAGCCAGGCCTACCCCCCGCCAACATCCGGCCAGAGCGAGCCTGACAGCAGCGAGCGGGGCCGTGCCCTCGGTGGGCCGGGTAAGGCGTGGACCATCTCGCCGAGTCCTCGAGGCTCTCCGAGGCTGCCCAGCCTGCGGGTGAGGAAACGGAGTGCCCTCTGAGCTGGTGCCTCCGCTCACGCAGGGAGGGGCCTCCTCTGTCCCGGGTCACCGCGGCAGGAGCCATCGGAAGGGCCGGCGGTGCCGTGTGTGCAGCCGGGGCCGTGGACAGAGGGCGAGGCAGGAGGCCCGGTGCCCGACAAGAGGCAGAGTCAGCAGGCGGCGCCCCCTCCGGGCGCCCTCCCTCCCCACCCAGAGCCCTGGTGCCGTGGGGGCGGGCGGTGCGGGACCTGGGGGCCGGACGCTGCGGCAGGCACCGCTGCTTCCCGTCAGAACGAGCCTGGCCGCCAGCGCGGAGGGCACCCGTCGCCTGGATTCTCCGCCAGGAGCTGCTCCCCGGGCGCAGGGCACGCGGGCGGGGCTTCCAGGCCATCCCTGCCGGGGGCGGGAGGGCCTCGGGGAGACGCCCGCCCAGGGCCTCATTGCCCCTTCGCACGCTCTGCTTCGTGCTTCTTGGCACGGAGTGGGGGTTCTCCTGGGCTGAGGGGTGGCATGTGAATGCCCACCAGGTGGTCATGCCAGTGCCCGGCCACAGCTGGCGGAGCTCCGGCAGGTGTGTGAGCCCGAGGTGCCCTGAGGGGAGGTGCCTCCTATCGCCAGACACCCCGCCTGCGTGGGCTCCCTCCTCTGAGCCCTGGGCTCCCCGGGGCGCGGGGCCCACCGGCGCAGGGCTGTCCCCTGCAACAGAGGACCACGGCTGGGTGGACGGGCGGACTGGGTGTTTAAAGTGACAGGAGGGGACTCTCAGCTCTGGAGGCCAGAAGCCGTACTCCCTCCGGAGGCCCCAGGGAGGGTCCCCTGGCCGGGGTGGCGGCTGGGCCCGGGGTGGCGGCTGGGCCCGGGGGGTGGAGTGGGGAGGAGTGGGGTGGGTAATGGCTGGGCCAGGACTGAGCAGGATGAGCTTTATCTCCAGGCCCTAAACGCAGGCGCATGGGCAGGGCCTGTGCCCTAATAAGGTCACGGCCCAGGTTCGGGGTGGGAGGGGAGCCATTGTCAGGCTCCGCAGCCACATTGCCAGGCTCCCCGCATTAGCTCAGCACCACTCCCACTGCCGCTCCTGGCCCCGCAGGCTCCGTCTGACCGAGTCCCGCACAGTCTCAGGGCCCAGCGCAGCACTGCGCTCCGGACTCCGAGGCACAAACAAATGTGTCTGGGGCCGCCCTCCCGGCAGGAGGCTCCTGCACGCACCGTCCGCCGGTGCTTCCCCCGATGGAGGGTCTAACCTGGGCCTGTTTCCGTGGAAAATGTCGGCTTAATCCGAACCATGCAAACAAGCAAAACCGGGCTCCGCAGGCAAAGCAGCCGCCCAGCGCGCGGGGAGGCCGGGGGCGTGCGGCGGGCTCCGGGCTCCCAGTCCCTGTCCTCCTGCCGCCTGGGCCTGCCTGGTGCCAGCCCTGAGGACGCCGGCTGCCAACAGGTACCACTGCCCCTCCCTCCACACCCGTGTCTGGCTCGGTGTCCCCTCGGCCTCGGCGTGGACAATGCCGGGGCCTCCAGGCTCGGGGCTGCGTACTTGCCTGACGCGGTGGGTGGGTGGCGCAGTGCCTTCCCTGTGCCTGCGGCCGTGTTGGGAAAGGGCCTTTCAGACGTCATTGGGCTCAGGCTCGGGAGATGGAGGGCCTGCGGGGTGTCCCTGTGGCCCTCCGTGCCATCGGGAGCGTCCTTAGGAAAGGGAGGCGGGGGGATGGAGTCACAGACGCCCGAGGAGGGCGTGTGGAGGAGAAGACAGAGATGGAGGGATGCGGCCACAAGCCAAGGCCGCCTGGCACCGCCAGGAGCGGAGAGGCAGGAGGGACCCTCCCCTGGGCCTGTGGGGCGCGAGGCCGAGGACACCTGATCTCAGACCTCCGGCCTCGGAGCTCGGAGAGAACACACGTCGGCCGTTCCCCTCGCCTGTCTGTGGTCGTGAGGAGAGCAGCCGGGCGAGTGCACGGACCAGGCCGCTGTGAGGGCTGCAGGACAGCAGCTTCCTGAACAGTAAGCGTGGGTGTTCCGCGGACGGGCAGGCGTGTCCCGGCATCGGAGCGGCTTCCCCGGATGGGGAGGGGCCGGGGCTCACAGCGGCGGCCTCAGCAGCCGGCGTCCCGCTGGGACTCGGGAGAGTCGGACCCTCAGCACCTGGTGCCGAGGGGAGCAGGACCCCTCACCTCAGCGAGACATCCTCCCGCTTACACACCCGCCGCCTTCCGCGGGGCACCTGTCTGCGCCCACGGGCCCGGTTTTTATTGACTTCAAGAGGAAGGGAGAGGGAGGGAGAGAGAAACATCCATGAGGAGAGGGAATCACAGACCGGCTGCCTCCTGCAGGTCCCTTACTGGGGATGGAGCCCGCAACCCGGGCCCGTGCCCTGACCGGGAATCAAACCCTGACCTCCTGGTTCATAGGTTGATGCGCAGCCCCTGAGCCACGCTGGCTGGGTCCATGTCTTCTCGTACCTGAGTGGCCGCTCTCTGGGCACCCGCTGGTCCTGATCCTCAGCTCCTGAGGGACCAGCGGTGCCCACCCCAGCCCAGCTCAGGTGCCATCCTGAGCCCCAGGTGCTGGGAGGCTGGCGGCCGGGACGAAGGCTCAGGTGGCTCAGAGGCGACCCAGGTGCTCGGGAAGAGCTGAGCCTGAGTGTCTGTGCTCCCTTCTGATGCCCAGGCTGTCAGGGCCCCCGTCTTCAGGGGGACGCTGGCCTTCCCACCTGCAGGCGCGGGCGGGCACCTGGGGGAGGGGGCACCTGGGGGCCGGGCAGCGCTGCGGCTCAGGGAGCCCAATGGGACGTCTCTCATGAACTCACAGGACAGTGAGGACCCAGCGGGTCTAGCCTGCCCCCACACACACCTCACACATGCACCTACACACATGCATGCAACTCAAACACGCCTTCTCCCGTCACAGGGATGATGTGCACGTGGCAAAAAAGCCAAATAACAAAGAAAGAAAACCGCCAAGTTTGCTTTCCTTAATGCATCTCACTCATCCATTCCCCGGGTATGTGCCCAGGCAAATCTGACCCCTCAGAGCGGGGTGGGGAGGGACAGGGGGGACAGGGGGGACAGAGGGGGCAGAGGGATGTGGCCCCTAACCTGCTAGGTCGCACCAGCCACCCTCCCACAAGCCAGAGGCTGCAGGGGCCCCAGTAGCCCCCCTCCCTGCACCCTCCTGTCAGGTCCCAGGTGAAGGAGCGGAAGGGGCTGGAGGGACCTCTGGCTGAGGCTGCAGATGGAACGGGGACAGGGCCGGGGTCCGGACCCGGTTCCACATCCAGGGCTGGGCTGTGTGTGCAAAGGGGACGGATGGGTTTGGTGGGGGGAGCCCCTCATTTCATACCCTCTATTTTGCTTCTGCAGCCGGGCCAGAGGCTCCTGGGCCTGGGCAGCCTGCCCGGTGGGTGCCCACCCACAGCCAGGAGCCTGCGGGCCTGTTGGAGGGAGACCTCACAGCTCAGAGGCGGGAGGCAGCGCCCACAGCGCCCACAGCCCCGGGGGATCAGGCCCCTCACTCCCTGGCCTGCTGTCAGCTCCAGGGGGGCGTCCCGCTAAGTGAGGAGGGGAGCTCGGGGTGTGGGTCAGACTTCTCGGGGTTCCTGGCCCAGATGTGCAGCATGGAGGCCTCCCTGGAGGTCAGACCCTCCCGGCCTCCACGGTCCGGTCCACCGCGAGGGAGGCAGGGCGGGCCTGTCCCGGCTGCAGTCTGGGGCGCCCGGACTGGCCGGCCCGAAGCTGCTCCACCCAGAGGACAGTCCGGCGGGGGAGCCCCGACTTTCCCCCTCCCCCTTCTTCAAAACCCCGGTGATCACATCGGGCCTCCACGCGGGCTCCTGGGGCCGGTGGGCCTGGCGCTCCGGGGCCGCCCTCGCCCGCCGCGCGCCCCGCTCCGCTGGGCTCCCCGCGGGATGGGGGCCGCGCCCGCCCACGTCCGCTCCGTCCCGGGCCGCCCCTTCCTCGCCCTGCCGGCCCGCCGGCCCCGCCCCCGCGCCGCGGCGCCCAATGGGCGGCGGGGGCCGGCCCGGCCGAGCCCAGCCCGGGCTCTGATTGGCGGCCGGCGCGGCGGAGCGACAGCCGGCGGAGCGGCCCGGGCGGGGGGCGGGCGCGGGGAAAAGTGCTGGCGCCCCGGCCCGGCCCGCACTCGGTCCCCGCGGCGCCCACCTCCCGCGAGCGCAGCGCCCACGGAGCACGGGTCGCGGGGCGGCGGCGGCCAGGGCGGGCGAGCGGGAGTTGCAAGCGTCGGAGGAGGCGAGGGGAGTGCGCCGAGCGGGTCCCGGCCGCCCCGGGGCCACGGTCCAGCCCTCTCGCCCGTGGGCGAGCGCGCCCGGAGCCGCGGCCACAAAGCGCGGGCCTGGGCTGGGGCCGCCCCCCATGCCTTCCTGAGGCCGGGCCGCCCGCCGAGCCCGCGCCCGAGAGTCCCCGCGCCCCGCGCCCCGCGCCCGCCGGCATGGACGTCCACACCCGCTGGAAAGCGCGCAGCCCGCTCTGTCCGGGCGCCCGGCTCCCGGTCCCAACGCCGCTGCTGCTGCTGCTCCTGCTGTGGGCGCCGCCCCCGAGCCGCGCAGGTAAGGGCGGGGGCCGGGGCGGGGGCCGGGGCCGGGGCGCGGGGCGTGGGGCGCGGGGCACCGGGCGCGGGGCGCGGGGCGCGGGGCGCGGGCGGGGCTGCAGGAGGGCGCGGACCGGTGCGGCTGTCACCCCGGCGCCGGCCACGGGCCTGTCCCGCGCCTGCACGGTCCCCCCGGCTGTGGAATGCACGGGCGGGACCCCGAATGCCAGGAGTTGGGGCCCCCGGGAGGGAGACCGTGCGCCCCGCGCCGGGGCAGGCCGGGTGGGGCTGCCCGCGGGCCGGCGCTGCACGTGGGACCCGCCAGGGGCTGCCCGAGCCGCACACTTTTGTGCAGAAACTTCGCGGTCCCCGCCCCACGTCCCAGCCGCGGGGCCTGCACAGCTTCCTCTCCCCAAACCGGGCAGGGTCGCCCCCTAGAGTCGCAGCCTGTCCATTCTTGGGGTGGGGGCTCCGGCGGGGATCCCGGAAGCTGGAGCCCCAGCCCTGCTCCGCCCTGGACCGCTTCCCCCTCTCCCCCCCACCCGCTGGCTCTGTCTCCACAGGGGCCGGGCCTCTGGCAGTCCTGGCCCTGAGACCCCAGGGGGAGGGGGTCCCACCCGAACCCCCTTCTCCCGGGAGCCCCCAGGGACGGCGGTGGAGCAGGCCAGGCTGGCGGGTTCTGGGTGCTCAGCCTCAGGCTCCCCTGCCAGCTCTGCCCTTAGAAGGCGCCCCTGGGAGCTGCCCTGGTGGCGGGCCTCCTGATTGGACGGTGACTTCCTAAGCATTGCCTGCTGGGGACCTATGGCCGGGTCTCCACACCCTCAAACGTCGGTGCCCAAGCCCTCGGGAAGCCCCCCGAGTCCCCGCAGACATGGGAGAGGAGGCCCAGAGCTGCTGGCGGGGTGACAGGCAGGGGACAGCCCCCCCCCCCTCCTCGCTGCTGGCTCGGGGGATGTGTGGGAAGAACCAGTTTCCATGTTTCACTCGCCAATGCAGTGATTCTTCCCCTTTTCCTGGCCACGGAGTGCTGTGGGCCCCGGAGGGGGGTGAGCAGGAGGCAGGGGCCGGGGGCAGGGGGCCGGGGGAGCCTGCCGGGCCCTGGGACCTGAGGTCTCACCCCTAGACAGCCACTGTGGTGCCGGCAAGCCCCGTCCGGTCAGCTGGATGGGGGGGAGGGGCAGCCTCCAGGAAAGGGGTGCCAGTGGGTTGGGGATGTGCTCAGCGGACCCCCTGGCCACCAGGGACCTGGCCCCAGCCCCTCGGATGTGCTCTCTCTCAGGAGCTCGGGGGAGCCGCCAAAAAGCTGGAGCTGGGTGCAGGCCGGCAGCGTGCAGAGCGTGCATGTGCCTGGGCTCGGGGCTGGCTGTTCGCTCCCCACCCCTGCCCCCTGCCCGCCGCCCCTGCTTCCTCTCGGTTTCCCTTCCAAACGGAGGGCCGGGCCTGGAGCCGGGGCCGGAGCCGGGGGTGGGCCTGGCGGCGGGGCCGGGCGTGTGCTCCGTCCAGAAGATGTTGGAAGCGTGAGAAGCAGCCATGTCCCTGGCGGGCCCGCCACGCCGCCCAGGGTGGGACCCTTGGAGCGAGCGCCGTGCGTGGCCGGGCGGGAGGGGCGCGGGCCGGGGCGCCAGATGTTTTCTGCGTTTCCCTGGACGCGGCTCCCTCTCCTCCGTCCGCGGCCAAGGAGCGCAGGAACGAGAAGTTATTAAGATTGCATTTGGGGCCGTTTAGCGTCGTAACGGGCAAAGGAGAGTATGTGAAATGAAACATGACCCCAATATTTGGAAATTGAGGTCATCTCCTCCGCACGGCATTGGCCGGCCCCGGTCACGTGACCGCTTCTTGCCATAATTTGTGGGAAGAACCGTCCAAGTTTGGTGGGACTCGTCCGGGTTCAAAGGGTTAAGTTTCCTCTGACTCAATCGAGTTGGCTGCAGAGACACCCCCTCTCCCCCCAGAAGGGAACAGCGGTGGGCGGCCCCGGAGCCAAGGCCTTCCCTCATCTGCTCCGGATTTCGGTGGCTGGCGGGGCTGGCGCTGTGGTCACTGCCCAGCGGCTGTGGCCACCAGCCGTGGCCGGGCGGGCGTCGCTGCCCCCGGCCCAGGCGGTCCCCTCTCTGATGCTCTGTTCCAGCGCGGTCCCTGGGGTGCTGGCCGGAGCCTGCCTGGGACCCCGCCCTTCGGATATTTCTGGATCCTCACCACAGCCACGCCTGCGGCCAGCACAGCTGATGCTGCCTGCCCCGCCTCGCCCATTGTCCCTGCCGCCTCCCTGGCCCCTGGGGAGCGGGCACCCACTGCTCCCGGTCCCCCTTCCTGACAGTGACCGGGCGCGGGCTGGCTTGGAGCCCGGGAGGGTCAGGATCAGTCCCCAGACCCCTGAGGCGCTGGGGTCTCCTGGTAGGAGAGGGGGGGCTCCTGCCTCAGGGAGACCACCACGCGTGGGGGACGGTTGTGAGGGGTTTGCTGAGCCCCGTGCCCACGCGTCTCCTCGGACCCTCACGCAGCCTTCGGTCAGGGAGGTGCTGACTGGGGCTCTAAGAGGCTGGGAAGCGGGAGCAGGGGCCCCGGATTCTGGTCTGTCTGCCCTCTGGGCCCCGAGAGAGCTTCTCCCTCCTTCCCGCCCCACAAGACCAGGCCTCCGTGCCTCTGACTTGTCAGGGGGCTACCTTCTCACTCCACATCCGCTCTCCCCTGGGAGGGGCCCCATGAGTGCCCCGAGCTGTGGCCGGGCCTGGGTACCAGCCCGTGTATGGCCCGGGGGAGGGGGTTCTGCTTGGCCAGCAGAGTCCTTCCTTCCTTCCTTCCTTCTTTCCTTCCCTCCCTCACTCCCTTCTTTCTTTTTCTGCCTCCCTCCCTCCCTCCTCCCCTCTCTCCCTCCCTCCCTTCCTCCCTCTTTCCTTTCTCCCTTCTTTTTGATCAGCACGTCCCAGCTGCCTGCACGCCCCAGCCCGCCTTTAGCCGGGCCCTCCTCCCACCTGCATGGCCTCCTGCCCCTGAAGGATGTTGTCTTGCACCCCAGGCTGGCCTGGGGGTTATGGGGAGATAGGGGCAAGGGTGGCAGGGCCCTCCAGGAGCTGCGTTCAGAGGGAGGCGCACACGGACCCGCTCACCTCACGGTTCATTCCATGCCCAGCGTCCCTCAAAGCAGCCGGGAGGGCTGTCTGCACGGGGAGATCTGGGGAGGCTTCCTGGAGGAGGTGGCGCTGACCTCGGCCTTTTCTCCTCCTCCTCTTCCCTTCCTTTCATCTCAGAAATGCACCCACGCGCCTCCTTCGTGGTGCCCGGCCCCCAGTGCAGTCTGGCCCCTCCTTCCTGGCAGGACGTGGGCTCTGCTCTCCCAGGGCGCCCGGCTTCCCGCTGGAAAGCCCCTCAATCACCGGGCGGGGCATCCCCGGAGTGCTGGCCGCAGGCGTGCTGCTGCGAGGAAGAGGGGGTCTCCGAGGGGCAGTGGGAGACCTGGGGGTCCCTCGCCTTTCTCTGCCCTGCACACGAGGCTGGTGTTCTGCAGACAGACAGACACGGACAGCTTGGCTGGGGAGAGGGGGGGTCCCCTGTGCTGAGCGATAGGCGTTGGGTGTGGGGGACAATCCTTGGCAAACCCCAGGCAGGGTGGGCGGTCGAGAAAGTGAAAACTGAGCTGCTCCCTCTGAGACCCTGGCGGCTGGCGGGCCGGTGGGGCGGTGGCTGGGCCTCAGCCTTCCTCTCGGAGAACGGAGAACGGGAGGATGGAGAATGGAGGACGGGGAATGGAGGACGGGGAATGCAGGTCGGAGAATGGAGGATGAGGAATGGGAGGATGGGGAATGGGAGGATGGAGAATGGGAGGACGGAGAATGGAGGACGGGGAATGGAGGACGAGGAATGGAGGACGGGGAATGGAGGACAGACAGCTCGCTCGAGGGCTGGCTGTGAAGATGGAGTGAGGCCACACCTGGAAGCGCCTGGCCCTGGTTTGGTGACGTTTTGCCAAAGCAGATGGCACAGCGCTGCCACGATCCTTGCTCCGTGGAAGTGTCCTCAGAGGCTCCGGTCGCCGGGGAGACGCCAGGGCTCTGCCACCCACAGCCGGCGGTGCCCGCCTCTCCCGGACCTCGGCCCCATCTGTGTGGTGGGTCCCATCCAGGCCACGCGAGGCCACACGGGTGGAACCGCGCTGCAGGCCTGTTTGAGGCTGTGTGAGCACGTGCGTGTGTGGCTGTGCGGTTCGCATGGACCATTGTGTGTGTGTGTGTGTGTGTGTATGAGCATGCACATCCAGGCACGTGCACATGCGTGCACACTGTCTGGCAAGCGGCTCCTGCAGGAGGGGCCGGCTGTCTGGGGAGCTCACGTCAGACGCCATTTCTCCTGCTGCCACACCCGCCCCGCCGTGGGCGACGCCGGCTGAGACGTGGCCACGGAGCCTGCTGGCCACCCCAGGCCGCGGGCCGCCGCAGGGCCAGCTGGATCCGATAATTTGCCGAGTCTTTTTTTACTCTGCAGAGGGCAAAGCCCTATTATGGCTTCTGCCTCCCTCTATATATACTCCCCTAGAACCGCTCTGCTGCTGTCAGCACTTGGCCACATGCTGGTCTGAGGGTTTCTGGCCCAGCTGGGGCCCTGAGGTCCCGGGGCGGGGCCGGGGGGCCTTCTCGTGGCAGAGCCGCCGCCGCCACGGGTGTGGCACGACGCCCAGGGCGGGGCCGTGGTCGGGGGCAGGCAGCCAGCTCCAGTTCTGGGGCCGCCTCCTGGCTGCACATTGAGCCGCCCGTGCCTCAGTTTCCCTCTCTGTGAGAAGGGGGTGATGGTGGGACTTCCTGCAGGATTTCGTGAACGTTCAATGCATCCCGTGTAGGAAGCGCAGGGGAAACCCCGTTATCACTGCCACGTCCTCCCAGGCCCCCAGGCCCCGCGGCGGGGCAGGGCGGGGACGGCCCGAGCACCGGGCTCTGCTTGTGGGCCGGCCTCGGGTCGCTCTGTCTGACGGGCAGCCCCCCCGGGGCCCCCGGCACAGGGTGAGCATGAGAAGAGGCGACACAGGCG